CATGCCCACAGTGTGCAAGTCAGACTAGCAAGGGTCTTGGGATAATGCTTGTGACACTTGGTGAAGGAAACCAGTCTGGAAATATTAGAGGAGACAGAGTTTTGAACATACGCCACAGAAGGTCGCTGCTCTCAGATGACAGTGTGTTTGCAAGGAGCAATTCTCAGAATTTCCTTTGGCACTGAACCAACTCAGGAAAAGAGGAAGATTTCATGTTCCCTGCCAGAACGCATCCCTGTAATAATGTGAGAATGAACGGTCTGACCCTAAATTATAAACAGCTCAGACTAGACTGTGGTCTGCTGCAGAAACTATCTTGAACTTTGAAAAGAGAAAGCTTGTGTGTGGTTATGTATATCTTTCTATGAGGTACAATAAAATAGTTGTCATTTTATTGTGCATTTAAGACAACATGTCATTGTGAAAGCATCAATCTTCTCTTAAATGCACCTTGTGACTAAGAAAAAATGCAGAAATCCAGGTCTTCCTTAGAAAATAACTGGATTTTATATGTTCACCACTAAAAGAAGCAAGCTATACCAATAAACAATAGAGTATCAAACAGTAGAAATCTTATACAAGCATCCTGAGGCTATGTAATAAGTTATTCACTGGCCTTCAGAACAAAACTTTAGATACAGTGATTTTGAAAATAAGTCTTTCATCAGTTTCCATTCATTTACTTGTTTTGGGGTTTCTGCTTCAATCCACTTGTGACATCTTTGACCCTGTTGAAGAGCTGAATGTTAACACAGGAGGCAGGAAACGTGAGTGTATTTAGGTGCAGCATCTTTGACTTTAGGATGGTTTTGTATTTGCAGTGGGAGAGCTTAGCCCAAAGACTAGAGGCGATTTAGCTGGAAAAGGGAACGTGTTTGTAAAGCACATTCCAGCTAAGGGAAAGCTGAAGAAAAATGACCTCTTATCTCACAGTGGCTGCAGTTGTTTGCAGTGCATGGCAGTGCATACCTGGAGTTGTATATGCTGCCCTAGGGAATATATAGTGGAAGGCACTTCAGGTTTGAACTACTGCATTTAATTCCCAAAGCAGCCATTCCTCTCTCTCCCAAAAAATAATAAAGTGTGCAATTCCTGTGTTGCCATGAGGTATTTGTGGCCACACAGAGGAATAAAACCCCAACCCAAAGACCTGAAAGGCTCCCTGATCCATGCCTGCCTGAATGATTGGAGCATGGTGTAGTATTTCATGAATGAGAAAGTTTTAAACTTTTATACATGGCATGTGATATTGGATGGAGTTGAACTTGAAAAAAATAGGCCTTGTAAGGACCAATGTTCAGGGAACCAGAACAAGCAGGGAAGTAAATGCTGAGCCATTTGGTGGTGGTGGCAGTTTTTGAGTCAGGTGAAAAACAGTGAGAACAGAAGCTGTTTGTTCTGGTATGTTTGTTTGTAGGTCTGTCACGAGGTACTGAATTCTCAGCCCAGTGGAATGAGAAACTTGGTAGAATTCTTTTTATTTTTGTTGTTTATGGGAAAGTCATCTGCTTCTATGGTAGCAAGCAGTAAATAATGATATAAAGTGATTAAAGTGAGAGCTGCTGTTTCTGGCATGTGGTTGGAAGGTTTTATTCTTTGGTCTGAGTCATTTGTGCAAAATGTGGTGTTGTGTTAAATTGAAAAATAGGTTTTTAATTCTAAAGTTGCCCATTAGTGAGTTTAGGGCAGTGGTTTGCTGAGGCTTACTCTGAGGGGCTTTTATCACATAAACTGGCATTTACATTCTGCTGGCATATACTGTCTCTGGTTACTCTCCTCTGATCAAACAGTGTCTATAAGGCACTTCCCAGAAAACTGAACAGTGGGCCTAGCAAGAGATTTCACAGATACCAATACTTCTGAATATTTTTTAGCTAGTGTTAGTGTTATGGAGAGGAACCTGGCCAGAGGAATGAGGAACATATCAAATATGTTCCAGAACCATTTAGAAAGTTGCTTTTTTTTAATTAGTTTACAAATTAAAATAAACATTTCATAGTATTTGAAAGAAAAGACTTTCCTATATTGCATAACAGCCTAAGACCACTCATTCTCTTTCCCACAGAAAAGAACATGTATTAATTTAAAAAATTTTAGCAGAAGGTATCTATTCTGGCAGCAAGCTGCATGTCTTTTGCACATATATGTGCTGAGGAGGAAGAAGAATGTATGTTTCCACCTTCCTCCAAATCCTCGTGCCAGGTACAATATCTGCATGCTACTGTCCAGCAAGAAACTGTACTGACTATTTCAGATTACTGCTTCCTTTTATTCAGTGGAGCATAGTTATAAAATAATGCCACAGCAATTCTTGTCTGAGTACCTCCTATGCTGAGCTCTCCTGGAGCCACAGCTCACCTGAGTTCCTTCTTAGTTCCAGCATGACCATCCACCTGCAGGCAAGAATTGGTGCATCTTTTGTTTCCAGAAAGAAAGAACAAAAAAGAGGATTCATATTTCTCTACTATTATACATCATTACTTCCTTTAGTGAAGTGTTGGAATTAAGCACATAAATCAGGAGGTGCAATCCATGATCCCTTAGCAATGCTATGTGAACTGGTAAAGAGGTAGTATGGTATTACAAATGCCTTTTTATGTTTTCTTTATGCATAACATATTGAATAATTGCCATTATTACCCCACACAAGTTTTTGTTCTCCTTATCATATGAACATGTTTGGGGATCTCTTGTAGTTGAGATTTCTCATCACTCTTACTGTTACATTTGTATATAATATCCTAAGCAGAACCACAGACCTGGAGCAGACTGAAATGTGATGGATTCTGTGTCTACACACAAAATGGGCACTGGTGAAATAGCATTTCTTAAAGTCTCAGGTGGGGTACCTGATTGAATCCAAGAAAAACTGGAACTTTAATATTTCACATGAGGATGTTTTTCTGCAAGTATATTCCTTTCTGTCCACAAGCAAGTGACCAAACACTAGAGAGCTGGCAGACAGAGATTCCATGGAGGTTTGGCACATTCTGTCAGGCACTGTACAGTTTGCCTTTGGGGGAATACACCGGTACATTATCCTGTACTGGAGCTCCTACTTTACTCCTTCCAGGACTCTACAGCTCCTGCTCGAGCACACCTGTGCTCCACAGAGCTTTATTCCAGGAGAATTCAGGTGGTGTTCTTCTTACTGCAGTCTCCTTAGGATTTCCATAGAGGACTGAATTTTTGTTTGTGCTCAAAAAACTCATGAGTGTCCTGTAGCCCAACCTGCCTGCCCCCATCCCTGCTGGAACTTCCCACTCCTGTGATTGTGCTGACTTGCTGACTGTTGGCAGATTTCAAGGGGCCAGGAATTCACCACATTCCCCCCAGATTTGTTGTTCTCCAAAGATGTTTCTTGAACCCCTACAAGCCTGAAACTCAGACCTTTTCAATAGATTAAAATAAAACTCATTCTGCCATAAAATGTCATGAGTTTAAATTTCTCAGCTACAGAGTCTGAGATGCTTCCTCACCCAGGCTGGATAATTCTTACTGAGAAGGCCTAAACCTTGTCATTTTTTTTCCTTAAGAGGAATGCTAGTATTTTTCTCCATGTGTGTTTTAGGTACACCATCTGTGGAGAACGGCAATGTGTTTATCATCAACAGTGAAAATACTGACCTGGAAAGGACTTTTTTTTTTTTCAACATATGCATTGATATGGATATAAGGAAAGCAAATACCCCACAGCTGCTCCGCCTGCAGGGCTTTTCTGAATAGCAGAGTGGATCAAAGGATGTTTCTATTTCCTTGGGAAGAGGAAAAATTCATCACTTTATAAATCACAGCATAAACAAATCAAATCAATACCAGGAGCTTTTTAATAATAATGCATTTCTTATGGCTATTCTCAGTATAGGTCTCAGCAGTGGATGCTGCACACAGCTAAGAAGAATGAAATAAAACCTACCCCTGACACTGGTTTTCATTTAGCATTAAGGAATTAACTGCAGTATGAGACTGTAACATCCCAAGCACTGATGTGTTTAGAATCTGAGAACTAAGTCTGTACTTTATAGCTTCAGTTCATCTGAACTGTGAAGTGGTATTATAAAATCATTTTTTCCTTTCTCCAGAATTCCATAACATGGGTAGTTTTATTTTTCTCATCTGTTGTGTGCTGTGGCTGGGTCATTGATGCACTTTGTTTAGTTGTTAGCAGCACGTCCTGAGTGTCTCCTGTAAGAGTATCATGATTTGAACACCTTTTTTGGTTGATGAATAAAGGAGAAGCTCTCCCTCACCTTCTGTGGAATGTGTTGGCCTCTATCCTGATGAATGTTACTGTAAGGTGCAATCATTTATTTTAACTGTGTTGAGAGACTTTCAGAGTCATTATATGATCTCGTTACAAGCCAGTAAATTGGTATTGTATATCAAGGGATGAAAGTTAGTGCTGAGATCACTAAATAACACATACTTTCAATAGAGCTTTAAAAAATTCTGGCCCATGAATTTTGTGATTAGAACTAGATCATCTATTAACAAGTCAGTGCATGACTAGGGAATAGATCCAAGTACTTCCTAAAATGGAGAGTGCTTGGCGGGGTACAACAGTGAGCAGTAAACAGGGTATAAAAAGCTTTGAGTAGTAGAGAAAAGGATTAAGAAAAAGAGAAAGTTTTGTATTACCTCAGAAAGAACTGAGTCATGCAGTTGCTTGGTGCAAACATGAAGTTATTAGCAAGGGAAAAAACACATCACAATATTTTTTTGTCCCTTCTTTAGATGTTGGGCCTCCAAGAATAAAACCAAATATATGTGTATGGGTAGTTCTTTGTTTGCAGTTTTTCTTTACTAGCATTACGTGCCTAGACATAGTGTGATAGAGAAAGCTATTTTTTATTGTTTACTAATAATTAATAATGTGAATTGATGTCATGCTGCCACTACCTTGACTCTTTCATATACACAGATTACATTGCTTGGATATCCAGGTATACAACTGCAGTGTTTTCACTTCAAGTGTTACCTTTTCCTTTCTCTTTTTCCAGGTTGACTTTGAACAACTCCAGGAAAACTTGTGTCAGATGGAAAGACGGTGCAAAGCATCATGGGATCACCTTAAGGCTATAGCAAAGCATGAAATGAAGCCAAGTCTAAAGCAAAAAATGTCTGAGTTCCTTAAAGACTGTGCAGAAAGAATCATAATCCTGAAGATTGTTCATAGAAGAATAATTAACAGGTACAGAATTATACTGGTGACAGCAATACCTTGATAGTAAATGACTTGATAAAATTATAAGTTATGACATCATAAATATATGCGTTTTGTAAGTGTTTAATGCCCATTCCTGCAGGAAATGTTGCTGGGTTGTATGTGGTGCATATTTTGTTATAGCCTCCATTTAAGAAACACCCCCACTCCAGAAATTTCTATATTTTGGATTAAAAAAAAGCAATCATCCAGGCAATCATTTATTACCAAGTGCAATAACTGTCTTTTGCCTCCTAGTCCCCAAAAGCTAGCAGCTTTATAGATAAGTTGATTGATCTTCTGTTTATCCCTGGAATTTTTTTAAGGAGACTTGACCTACTGTCTGATAAACAAGAGCAGACTGTAGCAAAAAAAATTAAATTTTCTTGACAAATTCATCACATGCAGAAGCTGAAATCAGTCTTGTACAATGAGTTCTTTTGTAGGCAGAACCACTCCTATTTGCAAGATCTTTGACTGTGTGTTTTATGCTTATACCAGCTGAAGACAGATTTAAGATTCCTCTCCCTAGGATTTGCAGTTGAGTTTAATGAAACTGTGAGAGGCTTTCCAACTTCTGGATAATTTCCAAATTGCTGTGGTCAAAATTAAGAACTGGATTCCAAATTATCCCAAATTTGTGGGTATACACTTGAGAAGTTGATTCAGTTCTTCTTTCATTTTTGTAATGACTTAGTGTTTATGCCTCAAGTAAGCCGAAATCCCAATTGCAATGGAAGGGAAGTGAATTCATTAGATTCCTGTTGTGTTTATCATATGCATTGTGCACGTAAAAAAATTATCGACTTTCTCCTCTGATATCCTGCAACTGCTATGACAGTTTTTAAAACTGTTTTCATATACTTGCACCTTTCTAAGATTGGGAAGACTTTTTGTCCTCAGGGATGTAGATGTAGTTAAAAGGAATTCCCATATATTTTTACACATTCAGTGTGCTGCTGCAAATCATGCAATATAGAAGCAATATTAAAAACTGCAAATAGTGCAAAATCTCTGAATGCCACAGAAGCAGTAAAACTGTGAATTAAGAGTGTCCCAAACTAACGTACTTGGTAGATAATATAATTTTATGGTCAGTTTTGTGAACCAGAAATTCTTTCCTTCTTGTGTTTGCTAGCCTGTAAATCTGCATTCTTCTTGTCTAGACTTTGCCCAAAGTCCTAACAGCCTCTTTGAAGTTGCTTAATACAAATAAACAGAATTGAAACTTAATAAATATTTTTTTCTATAAGAGAAATGAAAGTGGTCATTCACGTGCCAAATTAGTCATATAAAGTGATGGAGTTCCATAAATATTTTATCTCCTGCATCAGCCTGGGAAAGTAGACTAGGATGAAGTTATCATAGGCTAGACTTTCATGGTTTTGATTATAAAACATACCAATGTTATGCAAAGCATCCATGAAAATTCTGTAGCACAAAGGAAATGATGGGAGCTAGTAATGTAATAAATGGACTCAGTGAAATATAGGGTTGTTGTTGTTTTTTTTCCAAGAGACCATCAATAAGGATTTTTTCCCCTTTACATCTATAACTCATTTTTTTTCCAGGTTTCACTCATTTTTGTTATTTATGGGCCATCCACCCTACGCGATACGTGAAGTCAACATCAATAAGTTCTGCAAGATTATTAGTGAGTTTGCTCTGGAGTACCGCACCACCAGGGAACGAGTCCTGCAGCAAAAACAGAAACGAGCTAACCACAGGGAAAGAAACAAGACCAGAGGGAAAATGATAACAGATGTAAGTGGCAAATGGTATCTCCCATAGCATGGATTTTTAAAACTTTCTTTCACTGCATGTGGTATATGAAGTGTTGTTACTCTATTTTTAATTTTAGAGGTCCTTGTGCTGTAAGTAATGAATACTCCTCTATTAGAAGACAAAACTTGCAAGTCCTTGATTGTGTATAATTTCTGCTTCATAAAAATGTATAGGACAAGAACAAACTGAAATTGATTATCCAAAAAGAGCTCCTCTGTGTGCTGCACAGACAGTGTCCAGAATATCTAGAAGACATCAGGAGCCATGTGTATCTGACCAGCCAAGAATATGAAAAAAAAAACCCCTAGAAATTATAGTCCTAATAGAGAACATAATTTTGGTGATGAATCATTGTAGCTATTTATTTAAGTGATTGCAACCAAATTTTAATGGATTTTTTTCTCCATCTTACAATATTCTAGTAGTCTTGAGCCTTGACATTTTATTTTTTTATGTCTGTGTGTATATATATATATGGAGATACACATGTATTTCATGTGCATTTTTTTCTTAACTTTAAGCACAGACCCAGCCAATTTTATGGTAATAGACTGCTTTGGGATTCTGAAAGGATGGACAAATTTGTGTCCACAGTAGATGTTACTCTGTAAATTTTTTGACTGTAAGATTGCATACTCATTGAATAAATTAAAATAAGATTAGTTTTCTCAGCATAATAGGTTTTAAAATCCTCTTTTTATATTTTTTCTATCTTTTTTTTTTTTAAGTTGATGTAGTTTGACTCAATCCAAATAGAGTTTTAAGAAGTGCCAGTACTTAATAAAAGTTTCCAGCTGTCTCAAAATCCAGATCTGGAGTCTCGATTAAATGCAAGTGTTTCATTGCATATGAAGCTACCCCTGCCTTTGGCATGAAAAGCCCGAAGCTGATTACAGTTTTATGACTCAGGCAACATGGGTCAATATAAATATATAAATACATATATATGTATTGGGACTGGCATCAATTGAGATTGTATTTAAGTCATTGACTCAAAATCATTTGTAGATCTTTCCTGGCAATATCCTCTTTACATTTGGAAATCTGCCCCATTTCGAGAAAATGTTAAACCTGAATTATTATCAAAGGATTTTTTTCTGTTGGTGCAGTCTCAGGTTTAGGAAGAGGTTCTGATTTTATACAAAGGGTGTAATATAGTCATTCAAATTTACGAAACTACCACTAGAAAAGTGAACTCATTTTTGCAATTGCTTCTTGGTTTTCCTGATGTGTTTTAAAGGAGACAAAAGACAACTTTAACCAATGCGTTTTATAAATTAAAATTTTCATTCCCTCACATAGCCTTGACAATTTTTACTAGTTTGAGCAAGACTGAGGTGTAAAGGAATTACTGTTTTCCTACTGTGTTCCTACCATATAATGTAGTTTTTATGTATTATGTGTCCAGAATAACTGCTGTGGCAGGACAAAAAGCTGCAGAAAATGCGAGAGGCAAAGGAGTTCTGATCACTGGCAGCTGGGTTCAGGAAGCAGAGAAATGGGACCCTTTCAAACCACAAAAAGTCTCAGGCTTGACAGTGAGTCAGCAAGGGGCAGAACCAGGGGCAAAGGCCTGAAAATGGAGGGAAGGAGACATCAAGGCCTTTCCAGAACAAAAGTAGTATTGAAGGAAGATCTCTTGTTAAGCTCAAGATGCTGTTGAGATTTGGCAAGAATTATATGCTATCTGACAGTTAGTGTTACACCAAAAAATGTCTTACAGATCTTAAAAAAGGAAGTATATTTTGCCTATCACTAATTTATAATTACAGAACAGTCCTATTAGCTTGAAACCAAAAAGCCTGCATGAGTAAAAACCAACAGTCTTTAAAACTGCCCTTACAGGAATATTCTTTAAGGGAGTTATTAAGGTGGCCACATAGTTATTTCAGAACATAGCTAAATCTCTTTGAGCACAGCCCAGTAATATGGCCTCGTTTACCTTTTATTTGAACTGCACTATATGGTAAAACTGAATTGAAGTTGCATCAGACTATTTGTCACGGCTTCCTCTGACAACTTCAAAGTTATATCTACCTCAGAACAAGTTTCCAAGTCAGCAGGATGGAAGATATTTATGTGTGAAGAATTATGAAAACGTGGAATTTTATTGTAGTTTTGTTTTGGCTGTGGTTTGTATCTGGTCTTGATTTTCTTAGTGTTTTATATTGGAAGGCTTGGAAAGGGGAGATGGATCAGTAATGCATTGACAATGATTCACTAGTTACAAAATACTGATAGAAGAAAGTTGAGATCTTGACATTGGAAAGAAATTCTTTGTAGAAAGTGATTATAATATGCAGTAGTCATATGGAATTTTACTTTCTGCTTTTGATCACCTAAAAGTATTGTACAGTTATTTGAAACTTACCTCCCTGTCCTTTTGAAAGTTTCCTCAGAGTCTCATTTTTATCAGCTCACAGTACACTCCTTTTAGGCAGATGGGGAGGGATTCTAACAAAAGCAGGAAAGGAATAAGCCAGAACCAGCCCAGTTCTTAAGGAGAAGGGCTGTATCTCTCAAACCTTGTTCCCCTGCAGACTTGGAAGGCAGAGGGTGCTGGCTTGTTGCATGGAGAGTCTGCTGGCTCTTGACATGGAGAACTTGCATCAGCTTCAACAACTGCTCACATGGAGAAGGGCTCAGGAGCACAATGGGGAACATTTCCAGTCTTTCTTTCAGCCTTTTACCACAGATATCTTTGTGTTTAGATGTTCTTTAATAGCTGAAGTTGACTGGGCACTGTCAGAGTAAATCTTGGTGAATGTTGTCTGGAGGAGATGGGTAAGGAAAAAAAAAAAACAGTTTTTTGCCACAGTTTCACAGGGAAAATTACCTAGTCTCTGTAACCTTATATCTGGCTTTAGCCAATGATAGCACTCATTTCAGGCACTCTAAAAATAACAAGCAAGCAAAATAGGGAAGAAATGCAATTATAGATGCAAGTCTGAGCTTTTAAATTATTTTTAATAATAGTAGGTAATATAAGCATCTGTCTCCCAGATTTATGAAGCTCTGCTTTTCATGATAGTTAAGAGTTTCAATTCCAAAATTGCTGTGTAATAGACATAATATTCTGAAACAGCAAATCCACTGCACAGAAATGCGAGCCTAAAGGAAAAATGTGAGGAAGAGAAGGAGAGAGAGCCCAAACTGTCCTGCAACATGTAATATTGAATGACCGAAGAATCAAATGGCCTTTTTTCCTCAAATTAACATCTTGTGTCTGCAAGTGGTATTCAGTGTACCAATATTCTTTCACTGCTTTTTGATAATATTACATGTTAAAAAATTCCTAATTTATTGCTATTTCTCAGTGGTTTTTATAATTATGAAATAAAGAAGTAAATACAAGACAGAATGTACACACCAGGGTGAGGGGCAGATTTCCTTGTGAAACATAAGGTTGGTTTGTTTATTTTGCTGCTATTACTTCTGTTGTCAGTATTTGCTAGAGGCAAATGCCTCTTCAGACATGGGAATATGAAGGGAATGGTGAGCTATTCTTCCTGTGCACTGGAGTAGCTTTGGGTGTAGGACAGTGGTTCCAGGAGTGTGTGTTCTCCATGTGGAGCCAGAGGTAGAGAAATGGTAATGCCCAGGTACTGGAGATGGGCAAAGTCAAGCAAAGAAGTGCCCTTAAAGTGAGTCCACAGCAAATCATCCTAGCTAGATTAAATGGGCTGGAAGGCCAGCAGCTGGGCCTTTACCTTGTAAAAAGCTAGCTTGATACAAAGTAATACTATAAATATGCTTTTGTTTGGAGCACAGTCTTTGTAATGTGTGTTCTCTAGTATGTTATCTTGCCCTGACTGCCTTTTTGTATTGTTTAGCTTAATTTACTCTTCTTCTGCCCTTTACTTATTAGCTGAATGTACAGAATGATGCGATAGATAGATAGATAGATAGATAGATAGATAGATAGATAGACAGACAGATAGATAGATAGATAGATAGATAGATAGGATAGACAGATAGATAGATAGATAGCTATAATAGATGATAAATAGATATAGATGATAGAATACAAGACTGTTTGTATTTCCTATTCTTCTTTCTGTTTCTTACTCATGACAAAAAGTGAACAGTGGTCCTCTTCAGAAAAATTGCTTTATAGAGTGACTCCCTGCCCCCCAGGGGACAGAAAAAAGACAGACAATTTTAGTGCAAAGGGAACATACCTGCTATGGTCTCTCTGCAAAACACACTGCCTGTGTTTCTGTCAGTACCACTGTGTCCAAATTAGAATAAGCATCTCACTCTTTGCATAAAACATACCCTTAAAAAGTAATGTTAATGTGCTGCTCAGCAGTCACAGCTAATCTTCTTATGGAGATTGTGCTGAAACTAAACTGAGGGCCAAAGTAAATCAGGCCTTCATATTTAATGATGAATGTTTCTGGAACAGAATGTATCAATCCCAGACAGAAATCAGAGCTGAGATGGAGATAAGGTCAAAAATGTGTATTAGTAACACGAGGGAGAGGAATACTATTGGAGGAATGCTTCTTCTAAAAAAAAAACAAAACAAACCCCACAAATTAAAAAAAAGTGCATAAAATTTCTGGACTATGTTTGCACTTTATAAACAATCAAACTGAAAATTATGGAAACAGGGAGCCCAGATACTTGAGAAGCCGTGTTTTACTTTGGGAAACTTCCATGTGGGGTATCTTCTAGCCCAGTGAAGAATTCCCAAGGCATTTGGGAATACAGATCTAAATAGTTTTCTAATTCCCTGTAAATCCCCAAATTTAAGAGTACTCCATATCCCACAATATTTTTGTATGTCTGTTGCATTTAATGTAGTGCAACCGTCAAGATCGTTTTAGATGCCTGCTGTCACAGAGGGTGAAGGCCCTGAATAACAATGAATAATTGCATCTCTGATTTCCAGGATCAGGTATCAGGCAGCTACTGGAGAACTTTAAGCGTTTATTGAAAGACTACCCAGCATTTGATTTGAGTGCTCTGTTGAATTGGTAGTTGAAAAACCCCAGCTTAAAAAAGGAATTAAAACAAACACTTAAGTGTAGAGAAAAGGAATTGCCAAGAAGTTGACCTCTGCACTGAGAGGAACAGCAGCCAGGACCTCCCTGTGCTGCACAGAGCTGGAAGAAGGAGAAGGAGCCCTACCTAGTGTTGTCAGCTTCCATGGGGCAAACAACCTCATGACTCAAGGGAGAGAAATGGGATGGGTTAGGGGTAGTTTCAGTTCACCATTTCTGTAAGGAAAATCAGGAAATTTCTACATACAGTACTGGCAGGGACAGAAAAAAGAAAAAGAAAAGCAAGCTGATTGTCTAAGGCATGAAAATGAACTCCTTATATGTCTTCTATTTTTATGTCCTCTTATTGCATAAACAGTACCATGGTTACCTCTTACTCTGTCATGGCTTGACAGTGCTGTCTTTCCTAAATCTTGCTGTTTGTCCTTCTCCACCTTGTCCTTTGTTTCCAGTGGCAGACCGATGAAGAAGAGGATGTTGAGGTATGGTTCTCTGAAAAAGCATGTCATCTCATGTCTCCTGTGTGCTGTGACATCTAATTCCTAACTCAGTATGGACTGCTCAACTCCATCTGCTCAACTGGAACTATGAACCATGACATACTTCTCATACCTTTTTGTCTCAATCATAAGAATAAATTTTTACAGTCAGCTTTAACCATATGCATTCCTGTCCTCTTGAATAAGGAAATCCTTATCTGAGGCCTTAATCATTTTAAGTTTCCTCATTTCTTTTCCTTACTGTCTATAATGTACTGCAAATTCTCCCCATTATCCAAAACATCAGTGATCTAAATGTTATGGATATCATAAATTACCTTGGGCTACAGATTACCAGGTTAACTTCATACTCCTTAAGCTGTGTAACCCCATATGGTATTCTTTTATAAAATTTTCAAAAGCATCAGGATATGGGGCTGTTAAGCAAATCCTAACTGTTTGCCTTGTGGTGTAAATAGAGAATGAGACACTACATTCATCACAGAGGTGAGCCATGGAGTAGTTCATGTATCTATCATAAAGTGCTCCTGAAGGTGATGTTCTAGCTATATTCATAATAAAAGTTTATTGACTTGAGGAGCATCTTTTTTGTAATGCATTTTTTTGTTCAGCATTAGAGCTTTCTTCAATTTGCGGAACATAAACAATGTGGCTTAATGCTGTTTCACAGTGGTGGTCGTTTTCCCACCAGGCTGGGGTTTGACCAGCAATTTATGGCAACATCGGAAATGAAGGAAATGAAATTAAACTTTTGGCTCTAGAGCTTTGCCCCCCAGTCATGGTTTGTGATGTATAGCTTAGGGCATGGAAAGAAAATTACATTAATTTGCCTGTTTATGCCAACATGTAACTAATCTGTGTGAACAGGAGCTAACAGTTATGTGGAGGCTTTATCCTTTGGAATTTTTTGGAAATTGTATTGATTACTGAACAACCCACTTTGTAAAAGAGAGTAGTCTTAATGTGAAAACAGCATGTCCTTTCATAGGAGTTTTTCTCTAATATTTTTCTGTCTCTTAATTTCACATGTGAAACTCTAGCACTTGCATACTTTTCACATCAAAATGTTTCAAGCTAATCTTTTAACAAGAAAACAAACTTCTAGCTATCAAAATAGGTCTTTTGCTGATATATTTAGCTCAGTGCCTTGTAGGGATTATTGTTTTGCTACTCAGTTAACTTGCTATCTTACCCCAAAAAGTCACTATGTTAAAATAGAATCATCTTATCATTGGTTTCCAGATTAAACTTTTTCAATTTGCAGTCTTGAGATGGGGACTTGATCAAAGCTCTGAAAGTAGGGCTCAGTCTTTTCTTTCAATTACCACTCTCTGACAAAGAGCTTTGCAGGTTTGCATCCCTTTAACTAACTGGCTTGATATCATCAAGTGAATAATTAATGTTGTTTATTATGCAAAGGAAGAAGAGAATGCAGCACTTGTCCTTTCATCTGTGCTGAATTAGAGTAAGAAAGATTAAAAGGAATAACAAAACATACTTCTCTGTCTGATGCTGGGCTGATATGAGTGAGAGTACTGAGGTTTATTATTATCTCTTGATGCCTGTTTGCTGTCAACAGGGTCGGTATTTCCTGCAGTCAGGGCTGTATTTCCAATGTGCTTTGACCTTTCTGTAGATAAGAGCACAGTGGTGAATACCAGCATCCAGGCCCTTTGGAGGCAGAGTCTGGGAAGGAAGAGCAGCCCAGCAATGCAAGCCCTTCTCCTTAGGAAGTACCCACTCCTGCTGCTCCCACTCATTCCTAGGTGTTTGTTTTGGTCACTGGTGGGGATGCTACATACCCACACTGTGTGTGCCCAGCTAGTGTAGCTGCTGTTGTTCACAAAGTCGTGGTGACAGGGAAGCAGAGGGCAGACTCCTCAATCTCTTGTAAGGTTTTGTTTGTTCTTCTGACTTCTGACTGCAATTTTTGTGTTTCAGCCATAAATAATTTGTCTGGGTGTTTTGGAACCAGGGACTTTTTAAGTGTTAGTGATAATGTGTATTAAAGTTACCTGTAGATAATTGGGTTTTAGAGGAGAATGAGAGTTTTCTGAGCAGCAAGGCAGAGAGGCAGGAGGGAAAGGTGTCTTTTCCTAGACCACTGTCCCCATTTTGCCTTGCTAGTGAAAGTTGATTGTACAGAAAAAAAAAGCAATTTCTTTTTTCTGTTGGGTCTCATGCTGTTCCTCTCAGCATTATGCCTGACCCCAGATCAGGCCCAGTCTGGATTGAAGGTTTCAAAGCAAGTCCTTGCTTTGTTCCTTTTACTCTCAGACATAAGGTCAAAATTACAAAGCTCAAGCTAATGCATCTGTTCTTTCTCTGACTGTGTCTGCTCCCTGCTGTCACCCTGTTTCAGGTTTATTTCTGGTCAGAGTGAATGCTCTGGGAGAGGAGCAACTGTTGCTGGGCTCTTTTGGGAATAGCCCTACTCCAAACCAAGCCTGGGAGGACACTTCTTTCCTTGCAATTCGCAGTCGAACCCCGGGCCTATGGTCCATGCTGTTCTCAGTTGACACAACAAATCCTTTTCCTCCCGCAGTCTGGCAAGTTCTCCAGCAGCTCCCCGCCCTGCCAGAGCCAGCCCCAGGGCCTGCAGTATGCCGAGGATGCTGCTGAGCACGAGAACATGAAGGCTGTGCTGAAGACCTGCTCCACAGGGGGGGACAGCACCATGGCCCTCGGCGTCCGCACTCGGAGCCGCGCCAGCCGAGGTGAGTGCCAACATTTCCTCTTGGCCACCTTTCCTGGGCTGTGGTAGCTGCACAGTGGCCCAGACGTGGGTCATGAATCCCTTGGGTACCACTCACAGCTGAAAAGGTGGAAGGGGAAGGAGAACATCCCAGTGTTGTTTGCATGATAGAAGTGATTTGAGGCAAGGGGATGAAAAAGAATTTTCCTGACATTTCAAAACAATTTTCCTGATGTTTCACAGCCAGAGTAGGGGTATCAGGAGTCCAAGACTGCAGAAATTTTCAATTCTCCCTGCATGATGATGGTGACTGCCCACTAACGCACCAATTCTTGTTCTCATCATGAAAGCAAAATGGGCCATCTGGAGAATCCAGGATGTGGTTTTCTCTTTGTTTTCAATAGAAGCAAGTAGAAAGTAGCAATTCAAATTCAAATGAAAAGACTTTGCAGCATTTTATGAATGATTGGGGAGAAAATGGGTAGGAAAAAGGTGATGTGTCTTTTAACCACCTCCCTGTTAAACTGAAAAGGTAATGGGTACTTGCATTTGTGTTCCTCTCATCACTCCCATAGTTGCAATACATGGAAGATGGTTTTGGAGTAAAGATGATGCACCAAAATTCAAGTCTTCATTTTCTTACCTGGTACTTCTTCTCCTTCATATCTGGATATCTTACACTTTCTTGATACCTTTTTTTTTGATACAACTGATAGCACATCCACAGCATCCAACTCTAAGTCTGTGTATGTGTAGCTTACTAAGGCTTAAAACCATGGTCCTGGCTAATTCAGAAGTTTCACAGCCCCAGTGTAAGAAGCCAGTCAGCTAAGTAAAGTATGAAGATTAAATAATTCAAGCTGCACTGCAACAAGCTGAACAGCTGAAGTAATCCACTGAATTCTGATGAGGAGAGTGTCCTGACTGTGATAGTCAGCTTGTGTTCCCCAGAAAAACAGCAGAGGCAAAAGATGGGTGAGCCAGACAAGAGCTTGTCAGATGCACTGTTATAGTAGAACTGCTCCTGAAAAAGCAAGGAGATGAATCAGCTGAGTAAAGGCTTAATCAAAGCTGTTCATGGACTTCAGAGATGTGGCATAAAATGGCCTTGTTGGTGATTTCTAAGCTGCTTGCAATTGTACCACATCCACTCCTGCAAAGCTCACTGTCAATGTTCACACTGCACACTAGCCTTCAAGTAATTTAAAAATAAAATGCACCTAGAACTCCATCTGCTCAACTGGAACTAGTTGGAGTAGCCAGTAGTGGAGGAACCCAAAGATGTGTTACACAATGCTCTGTGGGGTGAGGAGTGCCAGGGCCTTGGATTTGGAAATATGGCTCACTTGTTTGTTTGTTCTTTTAACCAAAATTGCTTTCAGCTTTTCAGCTTGCCAACAACTCTTCCACTCGCAACAGAGCACACACAAACTTCTGTCACTCCAGGACACGTACAGCTCTGTGATAGGAAGGTGAATTCTTCATTTTGAAGGGGGCTATACATGTCAAACCACACTTTATGCCCTTTTCTTGTCGCCTTTGCACTAGGTTGTGATACAGATGCTCAGAAATTGTTATGTCTCTCTTTCAGTACAAAAGGACCTGTGTTTCTGATTTGCATCAATCTCTAAGATGTGCCGTGTCTTCTGCTGTCTTTGTAATAGGAGCAGAGAGAAACATGGTCACACTACATTATCCATCCTTGGCTTATAGGCAGCCTCTAGCAGGCATTTGCCAGTTGTGTGCTCAAGAGCAAGACACCGCAGCTTAAAGGAATGGAAAGTGTGTATATAAATATATATATATTATAATTGTGTTTGAGCTCGTGGCTCTCTCCTGGTACAGCAAAGACGCTAGGCTATTATTTAGAAATATTCTCCATTAAGCAGATTCTTCTTTTTTTTGGTCAAATTGAAGTTGGGATGACTGAGCTGCCTGCTGTAATTTCCCAAAAAACCCAGTTGCAAAACCAAAGTGATGCAAGAGACTTCCACTCTTCTTTTCCCTGAATTCACTTGCTGGACTTTTCCAGGCCGTATCGGTTCATGGAACGCTGGCAACGACGACTCACCGAACGCGACGGATGACGCCGCGGATGAGATCATGGATCGCATCGTCAAGTCCGCCACCCAAGTGCCAAGCCAGCGAGCAGTGCCTAGAGAGAGGAAGCGGTCACGAGCAAATAGGAAGTCATGTGAGTATAAGGCAATTGAATTGCTCAAAGTAAGGGAATGTGCAAATATTTATGTATATCGGTGTAGGAACCAGGCTTTGGGTAGGCAGACATGCATTGGGAGTGGCTTGAGTGTGTGCTGATGATTGGCTTATGTTCCTCTTACTGTTGTTTAATCAGTGTTGTATGCAGTGGGTGACTCTGTCTTCTACAGAACTTGAAACATCCTTAGCAGAAGAAGAAGAATGGTTTATGGTGATTTATGACAGTGCTTATGCATAACTAGAGAGTTCAGATCAGGACCTCAGATGGAGACTGCTTAAAATGCTGTAACCTACTGTGAACTGGCATAAAGATTAATAGTTGTGTCTGTAGCTGAACTTATTCATAAAGCAAAAAATAGTTTGAGATATTTCGCCTTTTAAAATCTTTCTCTCTCGTGCTGTATGCTATCTTTCCGCAGCCCTGAAAACAAAATGTCTACTGCTGCTTGGCTGCAAAGTGGTTATAGAGGAGTTTAACTTCCACTGGGAAGAAAAGGTAGCACATTTATAAGGTGGTCTTTCAATGGTGTAGTGTGGCCTTGGGAATGAGCTACGACACCCAAGTTTGAGGAGTTTGGTTTCATGGTTTAGTAAATCCAGTGTTTAAGAGGTGATGAAGCTTTCTGGGTTTGTTTTTTTTTTCTTAATGTGCAGAAATAATGCAAATACTATGATAAGGATAACTACCCAAAGAACGTAAGATTTTAGTGTTTAAATTCCTTAACCATATATGGCTTTTTGACTACCTTTCCATCCATTTTTTTAGCATTTCTGGGAAGTTAGGACAAAGAGGAGACAACAACAGTGAGTGAAAAATGACACAGATTTTCTTTCTTGTGGAGTTGTTCTAACATAATGGGTGATCAAAAACATTTGGTATTTGCTATAAATTAGCATGTGCTGAAAGGATATTCACTTTACCCAACATGCTAAAAAAGGAACTTATGCATGTGACAAGAGCAGAGGCAAAGCGGACACTCTGGTTAGATGAGCCAGTCTCTAAACAAAGAAAATGAGCTGACACTGGATTGTCTGTCTTACTTTCTGTCATACACTGTGCCTTACCTATCTCTGGCATCACCTGCTGCTACCTACTTCCCCACACAGTTCTGGCATTCTGCACGTGCTGACTGCTGCAGTTGGCTTGTGAAAATCAAATAAATCTCCTGTATGTTTGCCTATTTCCATGCTTTATCCCTATTTCTGTGGTTTATCCCATATTAAAGTATCTCCTCTGTTGGCAACACTGTCTTCATACACACATATACCAAAACCTCTTATTCCTAATTTTTGCCAGGTACTTTTTTTTTCCCTAGGAAGCACTTGCTGCAGAAACAACAAAACAGGATAATGATAATAAAAATAGTATATTATTTTTCAATTGAACTGTCTTTTATACTCAGTAAAAGCATTAACGGGGATTAAACATTCAGTAAATGTTTAGGCTGGGACTGATTTCCATTGTAATTAATCATGATAGAATCCAGCTCTTGTGCTTGTTTGTTCTTCAAGATCTGGATGAGACTCTTAAGTGGATTAAAAGACAGTTTCAAAACAAACATAAAGTTCAGTAGTTTAATGTCCCTTTTAGCTGACATGTGCAGAAGCGTGGAAGGAGAATATCCTAACTGAACTGTTTTACTCTGAGAGATAGTCAATATACTTGGATGATGAATTAATTAAGTAGTTTATCTTTTAAATACACTCAACTGGACTGATAATATGACATCTCCAGGAAATTAAGGGAGATCAGCCCTTGCTAATGCATGATGTGAGTTAAATGAGCAGAAGATATTCCAATTAGAAACACATAAACATGTAAGAAAGTAGATTTTTAGGCATATCTCAATGATTTAGATTAGCAGACACTACGATATTTATTACCTGTAGAGCAATGAGACCCTATTATCTGATAGGTTTGATTCATCACTTTCAATCTTCAGACTCCCATACACATCTTTTGGCTTTTGCCATGAGCTTGGTATTCAATCTTTTCAGGAACATCAAAGAGAAACTCACTTGAAAGGAATTATTTTCCCTGTGCATCATGTTGCATATGTCTCATTGCTTTCAGTGCACAACTGGAAAACTTGTCAGGCTTACTTAGCATTCAGCAAAGATTTTAGTGAGCATGAACTGAGACACATGGTTTTTAGCAAAATCAGAAACCCAAAATATTTATATGCAGTTGCACTATAAACGTTTGCTGTGGTTCCAGCAGAAGGTTCTCATGGGCAGGGATTTTTTCCCGTAAAAAAAAGACAGTGAAATGTGAAGTAAAAAAAATAAGAAAAAACCCCAAACTAATTAATCAAGTCCTTTATAGCTAGGGGAAAGCAGAAATAGGTTTATGGAAAATGTTGTGTTAAATTCATATTAAATTGTTGCAATGGGAAAATGAGACATCTTGATATGTTCATTTGAAGCATTTTACATTTTGTGGTTGTTGACCAGTGTGACTGGTATGGAGAGAGCTTGGTTAGGGCATAATGATGTAGATGAGTTTGAAAGCTCAGGGTAAGCATCAGAACTATAAAATTGGAGGAGGAATAAGGCAGGGGGTCACCTAACAAAAGACAGATTAACATGTCTGTATCTGTTGGTTGAAGATAGAAGAGGTCACTGATAAATCAAGATATGACTGGTAAGAAGGAATTTGTTCAGTGGGAGCTGAAGTGAATTACAGAAATCTAAGGTACATGATAAGTGCATAACAACTGAGTTCCTGTGGTGATCTGAAGAGATTCTGTGCTAGACCTTTACACAGTGGAAGATTTTCAGGATAAAATTTGTCATTTAGAAGTACAGTAATCAACTGGAAGTCACTGCCTTATGACAGGTGTTTAGTGACCTGCCTACCAGATACACTAGGATGGCATTATATCTGAGAAAATAACATTGTAGTTTTATTTGTTCATCAGAAAGCCACAGGATTGAATGAGCCACAGGAACTGAAATGCTCTGTCACCCCCTCAAGGTAATCGTTCAAAGACAGCTTCAAAGGAAGTTGCCATGGGAAGATTTTGCTGTGGGGTTTTTTTTTCCCTCTTATATTTATACTTTGTAAAAAAAAGGCTCCAGCCACCAGAGATGTCAGTTCAGCACCTTTTAAAATCATAAAAATTAAGTTGAAAATATATTGTTTCTGTTCTTGCAGTCTGAGGACAGCTTCCTGTGAGAAGGTTTTCTATAATACTATAGGGACGTGTTCAACTTAGCAATGAAATAAAGATAATATAATTAGGATCGTCTGGTTCTCTGGTGAGTTTAGGAAAGCCTTCACAAATGGTGCAATAACAAACAATGAGTGCAAGGGAAAGTGGGGATGAGAAAGTTTTAGGAATCACTCTACTTGATATTCCAAATTTAATAAAGACTAGCAGTATCATCCATAGGATACAATGTTTTACTTACATATATTTAATTAAAGAGCCTCCCCAAAGCTCCCTAATAGCTAATAGGAAGATACTACTGTTTTCTTACTTGTCCATGCTATCTATTTAAATATAGATCCCTTAAGGGAAAATCAGTCTTCTCAGGATTAGACCCTTGCTGTGGTGCCATCTCTGTGTTGGTCTCATTGAACTGGATGGATCTGTCTCAGGAGAAGGATACAATTCCTGTGAGTCAGCATCAGGAAAAATCACTCCAGTTTATTAAACATTAATAAGCATATGGAAGATATTTGCACTAATTCTAGCATATGCTGGGCAACACTTAGAAATGGGTAATGCTTAGAAATTATGAGCAACATTTGTGAATTCCTTAGAAATAAATAGCCAAACAGGGCTATTTATTTCAAAGGAAATAGCTCTTTAAAGATGGCTTGACTGTGCAGCACTGTTTGGATCTAGATCTTCACTTGACCCTGGATGATGAACTGTAATGCAGGGCCTGGGTGTGATTGGCATTTGATGATGAGTAGCACACTGATGGTTTTATCAGATGCTGCTGGAGGCGCTGCATGGGGAGGCACAGAGTGAGAGGCTTGTTTCCCCATCTCAGAGTGTCTGTGTGTGTGTGCACACACTCCTGTTACTCTTAGATTTCATTCAAATTTAAAATCTGCTTTAGATTTGAGTTAGAAAAGAGGGTTTGGAACGCATAATAATTGAATCACAATTTAATTTAATATTTATGTGAGATAACATGATCAAACTGATTTGTGATGTTTAAAGAAGAGAGAGACATGGTAATGCCTTGTTCTTTTATCAGGCTTTGAAATCATGTGCTAGCCTAATAATGACAGACTTTTGAGGTATGGAAACATCTCATAAGGATTTATGACTTATTTGTGTAATGGCTTGCAGGGAGTAGCAAATACTTCCAAATCATGGTGCAGAAATGGGTCTGAGGCACCACTCAAGTAGGTGGAGATAGGAATTAAGTCAAGTTTACCTGAATCCTAGACAAGCAAACTCAGGACTGGTGGATTAAATTTAACTACAGAACATCCTTGGTCAGGTATTTCATACTGTAAAAGTGAAATAGGAATCAGCCTGGTGTCATCAGGTGCTAAAATGTGGGAAAGAGCTGTGCCAAAGGACCAGGCATGGAGGCCAGCTTTAGACAAGTTTTAGTACCACTTGCAGTGCTGCTTTGGAATAAACATGTTGTAAGCAAACAAAGTACTGCATGGGACACTATTTGAATCCAAAGGTGCATATTTTTTTGTTGAGCATTCATAAGGGTGCATTATTTAACTTTTTCTTCACATTTTCTTTGTTATTTTCATTATTTTTCAGTTTCATGTCTCTTCACTTACTTTTTCTGGCTTTGAAAATGTACAGAAGTGCCAAAATACCAGGAGGGAGACTGTTCTTCTGGTATTTATAGCCTGACTAAAAGCAGGAGTTAATGGAAATTATACTTTTAAAAAAAATGAAAACTTTGCAAGAAGAAAGACTGTATAAAATGCTTTAAAGGCAAACAACATCACTTCGAATTTGCAATTAATTATTTAGGATTTGAGTAGCT